AGTTGGGGCAGTGGTTGTGGTGGGGTTTGGGGCCTTGGTTGTTGTACCGGTTGGGGAACTGGATGCAGCTGTTGTCATAGTGGTGGTCATATTCAAGGTGGTGACATTTGGGGCAGTGGTTGAAGTGGGGTTTGAGGCCTTGGTTGTTGTACCGGTTGGGGAACTGGATGCAGCTGTTATCCTAGTGGTGGTCATATCCAAGGTGGTGGCTGGTGCAGGGGTGCTCATTGTCTAAGAAAATGATTTACTCAGGTTATTACTTTAGAGAATACCAGAGCCCTAAAGAATGAAGAGTTGCAACAGGTTGTAGAACATGTGTAAATATTCTGATACTTGTTGCTAACTCAGAAAGTTACAAGTTTAATTACTGCTATCAACATCTTACTTTAGAGGATAGCAGCCACGTGTCCCTATGATCCTCTATTACTAATAAAATAGTTCTTATAGAGTCGGTGGAGATGTTGTGACTCTCCTTCTTAATCCACTCTGGAGGATACGTAGTTTTTTATTTTCTACATGTTCATCCAGTTAAATGATGATACATTAGCACTCTTCCCATGTTGCAGTGAATCATAGATTTATGTCAGCTGTTTTGCTAATCTGAAAAACATTCTGTCACCACTTTGTCAATGTCCCATAAATAAGTACAGTTCAAATCAAACTCAAGCTTCATGATATATAAATATTGTTTCAGAAAATCTTTATGATCAAATAACAAAAGTTACAATAAGCATTTTCTATTATTAGTAATAATAATATAATACCATGATATCATCATAAAAATGGCTGTATAAGATCTATACAATTACATGAAAAATGCACATTTCTTTCCCCAGAATAATGGGACACATCATCAGGTGGAATCAACCAGTGACACTGACAGAGTTGTTAGGACCACTACATTGTCCATTATGTACATGATAGTTGTGTATTATTTGTTTGCTGTAACGAGGAAAAAAGCAAACAGGACAGTATGGATAATATAAAAAAGTAGCTAATAATTTACCAGTTGTGTAAATGCCAGTGTGTAAATGCCCAGAACCAGTATCTCCATGGTAACGTCGGGAGGAGGCAGAGGTGTTACTGAAAATGCAAAGAAGAAAGGCCGATGCGTTTTCTGTGCAAGTTCTTCTTCTGTAACCCAGTCGACTTCCACTTTACTCTCAGATACGTTTTGCTTTTATACCACAATATCACATTTCACAAGGGGTGGGGTGGAATAATAACCTGGCCCCACATCCAGGAAGGTATTTAATGTGTCTGTGTTTGGGTAGGGCGGGTTTTTTTATACTTTTATTTATTTACTTTTAATCAATGAAGCCTCACTGAGATTGACATTTCTTTTTCAAGAGTGACCTGGCCAAGAGGGCAACACAAGATTGAACAGTGAATTACACTTCCTGTTACTAAATGTATCTAAAGTGCCCATGGCTGCTCATTTTGTTCATTTCCAGCCATTTAATATTTAATATTGGGTACATCTAGTTTAGCTTTGCACCCCTCATAACTATAAATGGTCTGTAATTATTTCAGAGTGATAAAACCAGAGAGCCTCTTCCTAAAAATGAGAGGATAGTTTGTGAATGCACACAACTCCTGCTGCCCTTGAAAGTGAACAGCACAACCAATCACAACAGCATTAATTAATGTGAGTTTCTCCTCCATAGAAAGGTAAACAAAGGTATGTGTAACTGGCATAATGCAGACATAGTAACTTCTGCAGCCTTACAACAATTCTCTCTAACCTTACAGAGTTGATAGTTTGTGAATGCACACAACTCCTGATGCACTTGAACGTGAACAGCACAACCATTCACAACAGCAGTGAGTTTCTCCTCCATAGATAGGTAAACAAAGGTATGTGTAACTGGCATAATGCAGACATAGTAACTTCTGCAGCCTTACAACAATTCTCTCTAACCTTACAGAAACAAGGCATTGACAAACACGCAACCTGTGTTTTTTTTAACCTTACCATTAAGTCCCACCGTGTATTGGAAACATCACCCCCTTTCAAGTAAATCCAACTGGTGGTCACTGCATCTTCCATCACATACATACACTTCTAGTCCAGTTAATTTTTTCTAGGTTTTTCAGCTTACTATGTCCTGAATGACTGAGAATCTGCACATGCAACTTGTCTGTGCAGATTCTCAGTCATCCAGGTCATAGTAAGCTGAAAAAAACTTAGAAAAAGTCAACTGGACTAGATTTCTAGGTTGAAGACGTTTCACCTCTCATCCAAGAGGCTTCATCAGTTCTTCAACCTAGAAATCTAGTCCAGTTAATTTTTTCTAAGTTTTTCAGCTTACTATGTCCTGGATGACTGAGAATCTGCTCAGTCAGTGAAATCAGCTTCTGCATTTTTGCAGTGGGCAACAAAGACTGACCCGCGATTTCAGCCACACTTTTTTAATAATCCCTTTTAAAATGGCTTCAGGTGTTAAATTTAAAAAAATTATCATTATTATTAAATCATATTACCATATTGTGGAAATAACTTTCATATGTACTCATATTATTTTTATTATTATTGTGCCCTTACCAAAGTCTATTCTTACTTTTATTTTATTTATTATTCTCTATTTATTTATTCTTATCGAGTATAGAGTTTACCACTGTGTTTTTGTCCTTTTAATTTATTTGATGATGGTACAGAACATAACAGTCGTTACACAAAACCACTTTGACTGCACCTGCTGACTCACTGCTTGTTTAACCTTTTGTCTCTGTTTTTGTTTCATGGACTTAACAGGCCATGCCACCATACACGCTGTGCTGTGGTATTTAAATCTATTATGTCAGCTGATATAAAACTAGTCCTAATAAAATTTGATTTATTACTTGATGAATATGAAATAAATGTACAACTTTGAGGGAAACATGAGAGGAGCTGTCATGAAACATTAGCTATGATCTTTGTATTTAGGGGTTGGCTCAATATTAATATAAAATATTCCTCATACTGAACCATAACAAAAGCTTGTGTGGAGCCTCCGTTTTGAATAAACTCGATTGCTCTGCCCCTTTTCCCCAAATATTTTATATCACACAACGCAGTACCTTGACTGCTGTGTCATGGCAGCTGGACATTACACAGGCAAGTTGTCCATCATACACAGTCAGAATTTGAAGCTTTGTTTTTAATCTCTTTGGTTTAAAATAATCATATATATGATAATCTAATGCTAATTTAATTTTATAAATATGTATTGCATATACAATTATTACTTATTAGTAAATAACCACACTTTGTAATATATTTCATGTTGTCAATGTTTATTGGTTTTGAGACATACCACTATAAGGCAAATACATGTACTACTATGTGTAAAAATGACAGTATTAAACACATACACACAGTTGCATCAAAGGTCAACACAACTATTGCAGTTTGACAGTTTCTCTACAGGTGAAAATTACTATGCATTGCAAGCAAACATCCGTAAACTCCTGATGATTGATGGGTAGCTGCTTTTTCCTTCATATATCAGTGCAGGATCTGATACACATCAAAGTTGTTGTACATAACATTAGTTAATTAATTGGCTGGCTCTGCCCATGTTAATTCATAATCATTTAACAATGTCATAAACCACAACTGAAAATTTGTTTCTTCTACAAGTGATCTAAAGTAAGTCACACTCACAATGTATCAGACAGTGTTGTAGCTGCAGTGTAGCCCCGAGCCTCAGGAGAGCGCTCACTGCCAAAGTGCATGAAGTGCAGCGGATCCAAACAGAAGGCTGACCGAGATGACAGTCTGTTCACTCTCTGAGGTCTTGGAAGTTGTGGCCATGCTGATGGAACCGGTTCCCCAGGCGGAGCTGGTGTAGCTGCTGCTGTTGGTGTAACTGGTGGAATTGGTGGAATTTGTGTTTGTCACACCTCTATCCAGTATGTTGTTAGATGATGGATCCTATGAGGATAAAAGAGAAGACTGATACTGAGATTTATGGCATAACAACAATACTACAGTGATATTGTAGAAATACTCTGCAAATGCATGTTTCCAGATTTAGGTCTTTTGTTAATCTTTACTGTTTGCAATAAATAGGAATGCATGTCCAAACTTTTGACTGGTAGTGTACATCATGTTTAAATTTTATGTCAAGTGGCAAAGAATTTTACCTGTGTGCAGACCCATCCCAGCAGAGCCAGTGAAAACAGCCCCAGGACAAGGTACTTCATTTTGGAAGAAAGGCGAGTTCCTCTTGGAGATGAACGTACAGCTGAGGACAGCTCCTTAAAATGTCCTTAAGGTTTAGAGCAGCTGTGTGTGTTCTTGCTGAGAGCCGTAGTTCTGTAAAAGCTAACTTTCCAGAAGCTGGCCTTTAATAAGACATTTAGATTATTCACCTGATACCTGCTTCAGTCTCCACCCAGGTGATTGACAAGAAATGCAAAACCTCTGAGCCTGTATGGACGTAAGTGATGCCTCATCTGTGCTGTCTTTGTTCAGCAAAGTGCCTTCAGCCTCTTAAGTGCAGATATTTTTATCTGTTAATGGCTGTGATTTTATTTGTAGATTTATCAAATTAAAAGACTAATTGGATAATACTCAAAACATAGATATCGATAATATCAAACAGTCTTGCTATTGATGCCGTTTCATTTGTCTCATAGATTGCATAATGAGACACTTTATTTAGAAGCAGGCTTGGGGATCAATATCCTAATGAATTTGTTACTTTGAGGATAATTAAATTGAATCATAATTAAACAGACTTGTTTTAACAAAGGAAGCATCCTTAACTTAAAAATATATACTGTCTAGAGATCTCTTATTTACCACCGCAGGGTGCGTAGGAAAGCTGCCTCTATCTTCAAAGATCCCACCCACCCCTAGACTGTTCTCCTCCCTACCTTCCGGCCAGAGGTTCAGAAGTGTGAAATACAGGACCTCCAGAATGGAAAACTCTTTCTTTCCCTCTGCCATCAGACTCCTAAACAGCTGAGGAGTTTATTACCAGGAAATACGTCATGTACTGTTTACATTCTCAGTTTGCACATGCATAATTGCCCATTGACTGTTGACTGCTGCACATGCTGCTCCCATGCAGCATACATTCTCTTATGTTCTTATATATTTATTATATTGCTGCATTTGCTGCTTTAAATGCTTTATATTTTGTGTTACTTATTTATCTACTTTATAGAGCAGGAAGTAGCAACGGTTAGAAAGGATGATGTGAGGAAGGCTTTGAGGAGAATGAAGAGTGGAAAGGCTGTTGGTCCAGATGACATACCTGTAGAGGTGTGGAAGTGTCTAGGAGAGACAGCAGTGGAGTTTCTAACTAGTTTCTTCAACAGGATTTTAGAGAGTGAGAAGATGCCTGAGGAATGGAGGAGAGGTGTACTGTATGAGGATGTCAGGAGTGGCAGAGAAGTACATCAGAGTAGTCCAGGATATGTATGAGAGGAGTACGGCAGTAGTGAGATGTGCTGTAGGTCAGACAGAGGAGTTCAAGGTGGAGGTGGGGCTACATCAAGGATCGGCTTTGAGTCCCTTCTTGTCTGCTATGGTGATGGACAGGTTGACAGATGAGGTCAGACAGGAATCTCCATGGACAATGATGTTTGTGGATGACATTGTGATCTGTAGTGAGAGCAGAGAGCAGGTGGAGGAACACCTGGAAAGGTGGAGGTCTGCTCTGGAAAGAAGAGGAATGAAAGTCAGTCGTGGTAAGACAGAATATATGTGTATGAACGAGAGGGAGGGAAGTGGAACGGTGAGGTTACAGGGGGCTGAGGTCAAGAAGGTGCAGGAAGTTTAAGTATTTGGGGTCAACAGTCCAGTGTGATGGGGAGTGTAGGAAAGAGGGGAAGAGGCGAGTGCAGGCGGGTTGGAGTGGGTGGAGAAAGGTGTCAGGAGTGTTGTGTGACAGAAGAGTGTCAGCAAGAATCCAAGGAAAGGTGTACAAGACAGTAGTGAGACCAGCTATGCTGTATGGGTTAGAGACTGTAGCAGTGAGGAAAAGACAAGAGGCAGAGATGGAGGTAGCAGAGATGAGGATGTTGAGGTTCTCTTTAGGAGTGACCAGGATGGACAGGATTAGGAATGAGCACATCAGAGGGACAGCTCAGGTCGGCTGTTTTGGGGACAAGGTCAGAGAGGCCAGATTGAGATGGTTTGGACATGTGCAGAGGAGGGATAGTGGTTATATTGGTAGAAGGGTGTTGGACATGGAGCTGCCAGGCAAGAGGTCAAGAGGAAGGCCAACGAGGAAATATATGGATGTGGTAAAAGAGGACAAGAAGTTAATTGGGGTGAGAGTAGAGGATGCGAGGATAGAGTTAGGTGGAAACACATGATTCGCTGTGGCAACCCCTAACGGGAACAGGCGAAAGAAGAAGAAGATTCATCTACTTTATATTTGATTTGTATTTTGTAGCATTCATGTGGACGGCAAAGTAAGAATTTCATTGTACAGGGAAACACGTTTCCTAACTGTGCATATGACAAATAAACACTTTGACCTTTGACCTCTGGGTTGATTCACGCATGTGTTGCTGCATTTAAACCATACCCTGGTTTATCAAACTTAGCTTAAATGGTAAAATACACCAATTGCCTTCAACTTAAAAAGACTTCCATCCAAACTATGTCCCTATTGTTTTAAATATGTTGTTCTCCATAATATACAGTCTTATCCTTACTCTACTTAACCCATAGCATTAAATATGCTCATTCATTGTAACCCTGAGGCCAAGCCATAAACTGTACATGGAAACAAGGCATGATGGTTCTCATACCACCTGAATTTGAATGATGAATAAATATTTGAATAAAATGGAACATCCTTTTAATATGAAAACCTAAATGCAAACAGGGGGGTGGCACAGGTCTTTTAATAGAACTGAGCTTCTTGTGGGATTTATCTGGTTGTACTGATCATTTTTTTCCACTATTTTCCAGTTGCCAGTATAGTTCAATGCCATTTTAATTCCCCATTTAATTTGTCTCAGAAATCCAGAGAAATACAATTTAGTAAGATATAGTTTTATCATTTGAATGAGGTTATACATGATCTATTGTGATTGCAAAAGAAAGTGCTAACAAAGCACTTCATAGCCTCAGTGTGATAAATATATGACAGTCACATTAAGAACAATTAAATAAAAGAGTTAGAGAGTCACAGGTTAAATTGAAGAAAAATTTATCTGAAATTATTTTCTCCTCTATATACAGTGCAATTTGTGGATTTAATGTAAAGGACAAAAGCTTCAGAAATGAGTCCCTTGGTTCTTCACTTCAGTTCTATGCACCATAGATCAGAATAGAGATGACAGGCACCAGCAGCTGACTGTACCACCCGAACAAAGCAGAAGATCCCCCTTTTGGCGTCGTAACTGAAGTTTTTGGCCTCCCAGTATTCCGAGCTGTAGAGTGGTAATGAGTGGATGCCATGGTTTCAGAACTGTGAGTTGCTCCAGACTTTTTTGAGGGCTGCTGTGATGAAGTGCTGGTGTCTGTTGAGTGCAACAAGGTGGGAGGTGGCCTTCTGGAAACAGTACTGCTGGTATGGTTGTAGGAGGTTACGTGAGTAGAGCTTTTGTCAGACAGTGGTGTGGCCTTTGTAGGTTTGGTGGTACCAGTTGACTCAGTTTTCTTGCTGGTCGTCTTTGGTACCTGCACCTGAAAAACAAAACAGCAGTTAATTAATATAACAGTATATGCAAACATACATCTACAGGTGGGCTGTTTCACCATGCGGGTAGCTTTAGTTTCATTCGCTGTAGAGTGGTAATGAGTGGATGCCATGGTTTCAGAACTGTGAGTTGCTCCAGACTTTTTTGAGGGCTGCTGTGATGAAGTGCTGGTGTCTGTTGAGTGCAACAAGGTGGGAGGTGGCCTTCTGGAAACAGTACTGCTGGTATGGTTGTAGGAGGTTACGTGAGTAGAGGTTACATGAGTAGAGCTTTTGTCAGACAGTGGTGTGGCCTTTGTAGGTTTGGTGGTACCAGTTGACTCAGTTTTCTTGCTGGTCGTCTTTGGTACCTGCACCTGAAAAACAAAACAGCAGTTAATTAATATAACAGTATATGCAAACATACATCCACAGGTGGGCTGTTTCACCATGCGGGTAGCTTTAGTTTCATTCGCTCAGGTTTTGACGTGAACTGAAAGTCATCACAGTTTTCACTGTCAACAGTTTGAATGAAAAACAGGTCTGCAGGATATACTGAGTAACTGTAACATTGTTTCTTAAGCAAACATTTCAGTTTTCACTTACTTTGATGACATGAAAAGACTGAGGCCAGTCTCACAACTGTGCACTACAGGAGCTGGAATCAAGCTCATTTTGTAGCTAAGCTTACCAAATAAATACTGGACACTGGGGGAAATAAAAAGCTTGTAAATGAATAATGTAATAATTTATGATTTATGAGGGAGTTGCATGTTGCAGCTATTTTTTAAAGTGCAGTTTCTTGGCCTGCCTGGCACTTCTGTCCAGCATCTCTGGCATATGTTGCATTATGACGGCTTCAGTATTCTCATTTCACTCCTGGGTACAAGCAAATAAAATGTTGAACCAATCTTGCACAATAGAAGCTGCCGTTCAATTTTTAAACTGTTTTTTATTTTTTACTATAAAGGAAATTCCTCCATTATACAGGGGTTGCTGCAGAAATCTCTCTAATTTAGGTGAAGGGGAAAAAAAATTAAAACATAAATTTGCTAAAAAAGCAATTCCAGAAACTGATCATAAAAAAATGTATTCTTGTCTGTGGCACTGGGCTAAATTCTCTCTCCATCCTCTGTTCTCTCATCCACATTTTGCACTTCTTGCTGTTTTTAGTCGATGCCACAGATAAAGCCTTCCCATACCTGAGTGTGTTCCTGTGACAAATCTTCCTTAGCTACAGTATGCAAAAGTCAAGCTCCAGCTGAGTTAATGAGGTATGAAGCGATTCACCACACTTTGCATATTGCTCTGGTTAGTCCCACAGTACACGTTTGCCCTGAATATATCTGCATCTGTCTCTTCACTCTGTTCCATCTTACCTGCCTTACTTTATTTTTCCAGATAGGTCAGATCTACTTTATTTGAAAACGAGAGTCGCTCCCTCCACCAGGAGATTGGTGAGGGCTGACAAAGTGAAGTTGGTATAATATATTCAGTTTCACAGAATTATAGCACATAAACTGTAAACAAACGTCTAGAAATAAACTTAATATGCAGATCTGAAACAGCTGAAATAATTATTTGTTCTAATATTACAAAATTAGTAATGCTGAATTTTCCAAGGAAGTGATACAAGAGGTTAATAAAGTTTGCCGACTAACTAATTTGACATGTTTTCTCTTCATTATGCATAATGAGCCAATTTGTAACATAAGCACCGTTTAAGATCTTATTTGACAAAAAATCTAAGAAAACCAGACCTTCAAAAGTCTGCGACTCAACTTTTAACCGGACATGAAAAAAGAAGCCCCTAAAAAAACTCTCAAAAATAGAAAAATGAACATTAATAATTCAATTACGAAATCCATCTGCAAGGAAAGATCATGTGATAAAATGTGTAGCTCAGATGGACCTTGTGGCAAGTAGTGATTTCAAATAAATAAATACTGTACAAACTGAAAAATATGCCTCCTTGTTGTTTAAAAAACTCTATTTGAGTTTTTCTCTTTATGCCCATTTTCCTAAACATGACCTGGATCACTTCTCGCCATGTTTTCCATCAGGTTTTCAAAGTGTCTATACCTCAGTGCTGCCCAGCATGAAGGTCATCCAGACACAGAGGACTAATATCTCAGCTTTCTTCATCTTGGTTTTCAGCTGTTTCCTTCGCACTTTATGGCTGTCCCACCTTTCTGCCTGTCCTTTTATACCTCCAGCTTTCCTTAACATGCTGATGCTGATAAAAGATTAGTTGATATACTACAGTACAGACAGTACTCTCTTTGCTTTTTTTGATGAATCGGTTTATAGTAACTTATCAGGAATCAATCACTAAACAAACAAACAAACACTTGGTTTGTTGTTGCAGCAATAATTGTTTTTATTTCCAGTATTGTTAATTTATATTTCTGTGTCCTAACTACCTTTCATTTTTGACCAGGCGCAGATATGTAAGGAAGAAGTCAATAAAAGAAAACTGATGTTTTAATTCACCCTTAAATGGAATGAATCCACAGAAACCCATCAGTAAAAACATCCAGGATTATTTTGGTAGAATTCTACACATACTTCCACACCAGTGAACCCCACTGTGACAAACATGTGGTGAATCAGGCACATTTGATTTCACCTTGCCTGTTGGACCTTCATCTGATGGAACATTTGGAATAACGTAAGCAAACAGAGGAATGTAACCCTGTGATATTTAGTTTTTGATACTGAGTTTGTACAAATACTTGAGGTAAAACTGACCTCTTATCGCTTTCTACTAATGACATTTGGTAAGGTAGTTTGTTTCTACTTCCACTCAGTATTCACTCTACAAAAGAAAAACAGACTGTGGTTCCTCACTGTTCTCATTATATTTTGTACCTCTTTACTTCTGTCTTCCCAAGACAAACCTCTGAGTATGTTAACATCAGAGGTTGGTGTACTTTCTTCTGGGAATTAGAAACACCAGTGTCTATACAGTCAGTGAAACAGCACAATGAAGTCAGTTGGAGGATGAAAAATGAAAGTTAAAATACAGGCTAATAAAGTGCATTATTGGGTGGAATTAAAAAACATTAATTAAAAGCAGTGGGAAAAAGAACAGTCTTTAGTTTAGTTTTAAAAGTGGCACCAGCTGGGGCAGGTCTGATGGGAGCTGGCTTCAGCTATGGTCAGCATCATGGCTAAAAGCATTTTCACTGTGTTTACTTCGAACTCTAGGCACCACTAGCTGACCAGTCCCTGCAGATCTGAGACACCTACCGAGCTTGTACTCACCAAATGTACTGTATCTCTGATATATTTTGGGCCCAAACCACTGAGAGACTTGTAGACCATAAGTAGGGCCTTAAATTGAGTTCTGTATTTAACTGGAAGCCAGTGCAAAGATCTAAGGCCTGGAGCAATGTGTTCTCTCTTCTTGGTGTTTATCAGTATTCTAGCAGCAGCATTTTGAATGAGTTGCAATTGTGTGGTGGTCTTATTGGGGAGGCCAGTCAGTAGTGCATTACAGTAGTCTGCCACACTAGAAACAAAAGCATGACTGAGCTTCTCTACATCCTGCATGGACAGAAAGCTTCTCATTTTAGCTATGTTTGTAACATGCCAGAATGATGACTTTGTTACAGCTTTGATATGGCCATCAGAATTGAGATCCTGATCAATGATTTCACCAAGATTCTTGACACAGGTGTTACTTTTTAGTGTCTTGGACTTAAGGTCAACACTGACCATAGTCATTTGGTGAGAGCCTTAAGTATATCTGGGTGTCATCCGCATAGCTGTGATAAGAACACTATGTTCCTGAAAAGTTTGAATAAACAGAAGCATGTACAGGTTGAATAGGAGGGGTCCAAGAATCGATCCTTGTGGGAACCCATACTTCATGGTGGTTCTTTCAGATTCATAATGACCGATAGTGACTGCATGTCCCCTGTCTTCTAGATATGATTTCAGCCACCTGAGGATGGTTCCCAAAGGTCCAACCCAGTTTTCCATTCTATCTAATGAAGTTTAGTTTTCCACCACCTTTGTTCTGCTTTTCTATATTCTCTCCACTGATATACTGTTGTTGCAGCATTTCTTTGTGATTTTCTGTTTGCCAGAAATAACCTTATTCTTAACAGGCGCTGTTGCATTTTGATCCTGAGTGTTTTGGAATTAAAACGATCAAGACGTAAAGCAAAGAGAAAATACCTCTCATTTTGATTTTATTAGGTTAAAGATAATTGAGGGATGTATGAGAGAACGGCTTCAAGTGATTCAAGTTGCACAGTTCTTATCAGAACTCTGTGTGGCAAAAGTTGTTTCAAGGTTAAGGCTGATACTGTAGTCCACAACCCACAATGTATACACAGCATGTGATTACAGAAAAAGTGTACTGTATGTACAGATATACTGGAGCCCTTACAAAGATCTAAAACACTTAAACCATAACATACAGGTTTTTAGTTTTCTATCATCATAATACAGTCTCAAAAACAGCGAGGGACACAAACGTCTTCCTGTAACAGGTTGATCTATTAGCTATGATGTTTTTTCTGCTCTGCACTTCCTGGTGCTATGTGTGTTATCTTCTCTTTCAGACCGCACTGTTCCCTGTGGATACTTCATTAACAGAGTCGAGTTTAATTTGTAACACTGTTAAGGTTTTTCTACATTTCCTTTTGTAGCATGGGCCCAGAATCGATCCCTGAAGGTCAGTAATTCACATTCCAGACTTTCTTGTCTTACAGTTTCCTGGTTCCTTTTGTTATTTCTCCATGCCACCAATAATTGCGACCAGAGGCCTTATATTTTCGGGTTCTCCGTCCATCCCTCTGTAAGTCCTGCCATATCTCACTAACTCCTTGAGGGATGTTTTTAAAATTTGGCACAAGTGTCTTTTTGAAATCAAGGATAAATTAATTAGATTTTGGTTGTCAAGGGTCACATGTTAAGGTCACTAGAACCTTGTGTTCATCCCATTCTTGTGAATGTAATAGCTCATCAACGGCTTGAGGGGATTTTCTGGTGGTCAAAGGTCACTGACACCTCACGTCAGCAACATAATTCTAGTTTGACATGTTTTATCAGATGACAATTATTGCTTACATTCAGTAATGCTTTATTGCCATAGCAGGTTTATGGAATTCAAAAGGGCAATGAACAATAGGTGATGCACAAAAGACACAAATTAAAGCAAAATAAAATAAAATTGTCAGGTCAGAATATGTTGAAATGTATGTAGCAGGCTGAATTCTTTCACAATCCCTGCTGTTCATTGTCATCATCAGTGTGTTCCTGCTGGGCTGCACAGCAAATCTCCTTTGGACAGTATACATTTTAAGTAGAAGTTGTACAGTAAACACACAACAATTATGAAAATAGTGAAATACACAAACAAAAAGGGGGAGCAGAATAAACACATCCCATTAGTGAAAAGAGGATACAGACAAGCTTTTGCGGTGACCCAGAGCACGAGGAAGAAAAAAGCTTTGTTTTCAGCCCACTGTGCCTGCAGATGATACTGAAAATTTATACAAACACAGATAATTTTTTTTGTACAATTGTAGTTTCAAAACTAAACAATCAGATCACATTTTGATGCCTACCTGGTCCTGTACTTATGGTCAACAAAAGGCCTTTACAAAAAACACTACACCTTATCATGGGATAAACAAAATGTACTTCCTTTAAACTTCTGGCACATCACGAGGAGTGCAAATTTTGATCTTATGTAAATTATGGGTAGAGTCAGATGTTCTGATTTAAGATGGTAGGCAAACAAGTCTTACCCTTATGGCTTCACTTAAATCACAGGTTGCATGCAAGCTTGACGTATTTATCTAATTCTATGAAGCAGTGGTCATGGTTTTGTGTAAAAGCACATTGATAACACAAAGACCCACAATAAAACATTTGAAACCAATTATTGTAACTACAGTGTTTGTGTATAAGCAATCTGATTTGTCTACTACTGTATAACACTGATTGCCTTAAAAATATGGTGATTTGCATCATACAGGAGAACATATTTTTTGTACTTTTGATAGCTCTTAAACATTAATACTATCATAATAGGAGCCACACTCCATTGTTGCCATCTATAATATATTGTACCTTTATAATAATTATATTTTAAGTATAGTCTACATTTTATGCTGCTACTTACAAGTATAATATATGTGCTGTACTTGATGAGTTGTCCATTTGCCGCAATTTAATACTTTTGTTCCACTACATTTACACTACAAGTTAAAGGAAAAACCTAAATAAATGAATGGGGAAACATAATGATTTGTTCGCACTTTATGTTGTTTTTTCTTTTAATTTCTGCCTGTCTTTATCTGATGGCTATAGGTAAGTAACTACTCTAGATACTTTGCAGATTAATATTATATTAATGAACTCTATGAAATGAGGTTAATCACAGAACAGACTACGCTAATTAATAATAAAACACTAGCGCTTTTATGTGCTACATTCTTTTTATTGTGAAAGCAGGACTTGACTAAATGTGGTACTATGTTTAAGTAAAGTATCCAAAGTGCTAATTAGCTATGGTGAAGAAGAAGAAAAACAAGATGAAGAAGAAGAAAATGAAGACGAAGAAGAAGAAGATGATGAGGATGACCTATGGTGTAGTGAGGCTGGTGTTTAAGTTACATCTCCATCTGGTGTCGGGAAACGCGTGTGTCTGCCCAGGATGTGACGCAAAAAAGAGGAAAACGCGCTGAGCTTTGTAAAGGAAGCGTTGTGTGTTGTTTGAAATAACAAATAAGCAAATGTTATTTTTCGCAATTGCCAAAGCAAGCCACAAATATTTGGATAGCATCTAGCCAAAGGGCGTTGTTAATTTAGGTAAGCGGTTTCTACGCTCTCCGTCAACTAGTTAGCTAGCGTGCCTCGGTGGCTTTCCATTGTTTAGGCTAGTTTGTTAGCCACCACGATTAGCTTCTGTGAACCTGGGCAATTTTTTTATGATAGATAGTGGAGTAGCCGTATCTTAGGGTCCTTATGTGGCTACATTGATAGTTTAGAAAGTCGTATTTAACCTGCATAGCTAGTAGAACATTGCTGGCATTGTTAACAGCGCTGTGTTGTAGCTAAGCACATTTATCCAAGTATTGTATTGTATTGTACTGTAGGTGCAAATTTGAGGTACTTTTACTTTAACGCTACTTGATGTATTTCTTCTTGCAATTTTATAGCGTTACTTGTACTCCAACACACTGCAAAGAGAATGATTGTACTTTTACTCCATAGCAATAACTTAACAGCTTCAGCTACTAAAGACGTTTGACTGGGTTGTTGGAAACGTTTGGTGGGTTACTCGCTTGTATTAGTGTTTGCCATGGCTTTGTTATTGTTTGTTAATGTTCGACCTGACTGGTTGGTTTGATTAAATTGTTAAGATGTTAATGTGTGGGTTAGGCAAAGAGGGGGTTGTTCTGGGACGCTGGAACACACCCACCTGCTGGCCCTGCAGACTTGCTTTCACTCTTATATCCACACAAAACTTAAATCGTTGCTGTTAATAGTTTTAGATTCACTGGGGTGCTTAATTGTATATCTTTGGATTGACAGTCTTGGAGGAACAGTGACGGTGCCCCATTGGAGAGTTGAGCGGCCTGGCTCTCGGATATGATTGATTGCCTACCAGCCATTGTTTAACCTGTGCAAATACAATGCAAATATTTTGTGACAAGTCACCAAAATATCCACTCTTTGTTGCTGAGGACTGGATTTGGGGATGCTTTGTCAGATTGGAGATACTTTCTGATATGTGCATGTTAGGGTTGGAGAATTGTGTCTCCAGATACTGTCTCCGACCGCAAGGCGTTGCAGTGGGTGATGAAAACTGCCCAACACATCACAGGGACTCCACTTCCAGCCATTGAGGGTGTCCACAGGGAACGCTGTCTCCGATGTGCTCGCGGCGTTCTTAATCCTGTCACCCTGCTCACAAACTGTTTGACCTCCTGCCCTCTGAGAGATGCTTCACGAGCCTCCGGACCAAAACCAGTAGACTCAGGAACAGCTTCTTCCCCACAGTGTCTCCTTACTGAACTCAACTCTGTCCCCCGTTGACCCCCCCCACTGCCTTCCTCTACACCACTACGCACACCTCACCCCTTCTCATCTCTCCTCCCGGGACTAATGCAATGCACTGTTACCTGTAACACTGAAGTGATCTGTTAATTTGTACATACTCACAGAATACTGCTCTGTTATTCATTTGCACACTGTTCATATGCTGATACTGTATATTTATCTTTGCACTGTTTACATCCATTGAACTGTTAACTCATGTAATTTATCCTATTATTCTGCACTATTTCATTCCATTTCATTGCATTGCACTAGTGTTTTATAAGCTTACTGTACATTATCCATTGCTTGTAATTTACATCCATAAAGTCTGTTGTATATTATACATTACCTTACATATCTTACTGTAAATATCAGTTGTACATATCTGTTGGTAAATTAGTTCAGACTGTAGATACTGTGCACTGCACTGCTCTTGGTGCACTTATAATTAGATCCTAAACAGTATTTCGTTGCTTTGTACTTGTACATGTGTAATGACAATAAAGTTGAATCTAATTGAAAAAAGGTGCTATTTGGGCTCAGAAAAATTATGAAAACTTTCTGAATTTTTGCAAACCAAACAATCTGTCAGGAAAGACAATGATTAATAAATTAATCCATAATGAAACTGTCAGTTGCAGTCTTGTATAAAAACAGAATAATAGATGATCCACTGCAATCAGATGCTGCTCACAGACAGGAGTGATAATCTAATGATTTGCAGTAAAATTGTATATCACATTTATATACTATATTTACATATTTTTACTTAAGTAACATGCTAGGCTTGTAATGAATTAGTTTTAGGGGTTTTATTTAAAAGCTGATTGTTAACGTGCATGAGTAGCTGCATTTCTGACATCAGCATAAGTAACACTAGTAGTCTGGTGATAACATCTTTACACTGTATCATTGCTTTTCCTCAGGTTCATGTAGTGATGGCAGCTTCGTTACCTCAGAAGCCAGGGATGGCAGGGATGCCCCCTCAGCAACAGCCTCACCTGCCCCCCAGCGCTGCCTCAGTCCAAGGTCAGCAGCCACTGCCCCCTCAGGGACCCCTGAGAGAGATCTCCCCGGTGTTCCTCTGTCGGATTGGACAGGAGACCGTCCAAGACATTGTTACACGCACCATGGAGATCTTCCAGATCACACGAGCCACCCAGGTACTGAAAACCTGTATCTTAGACTGTCAGCTAGCTGGAGAGAATGTAGTCCGTGAAAAAACAATGTCCTCATGCTGTTTGTGGTGCTTGTTTTTGCAAACATCAGCTCAGAGACCTTTAAGTTGGATGGATACACTGTTGAGATTATTCACCAAGTGTCTTGTCATTGTGGGAATTCTGTGAATGAGGAGTGTGCGATACTGACAGAAAATGACATCTCAACATGTTGTGTGGCAGTCGTGTGGACGGCAAAATAAGAATTTCATTGTACAGGGAAACATGTTTCCTCACTCTGCATATGACCCATGACCTGACCTTGACCTTGTGGGATTTTGTAGATGATAATAAGCAGACCATATTTTGCGTTCTTCAGAAGTGTACTAACTCGCTCTTGTTATTGTTACTTAGTAATGATATTAGTGGCAAAAACATTTAAGATAAACTGGGCTTGCTTATTTACTTGAAACTGAAGCGTTCAAGTACAACGTTAACTTACACAAACAATGAAATGTCTTTTGCAGAGCGATTCCACTGATGTTTGCTTAGTGTGGTTTTGTGCTGGTACCTTGGCTGGTTTCATCCTGTTGTGGACAGCTAACTACCGAAGCTTTCTTATTGTTCATATTCTGTGCGGTGGCTAGTTTGCAGATGGTGAAACGAGCTGTCGAGTTGTTTTTAATGGCAACTAATTTAGTTTTCAGATTGATGTCTTTTGAGCAACATTCATCTTGTCGAGGCCAAACCTCCTCCATATGAGTGACTCAAACAACGTAGACTCAGGCTGTGGCGTCAAATTTTTCTCCTGTTGTCACTTGTTCACTCAGTTGTAACTTCACTAATGTATTTTTAGACAGCTACGCAAGCTTTACTCATGGTGTAGTGATCATGTACATGCTGTGTGCACTCTGTGTGCACACACTAGTCTGTCCTACAAGACTACATGATGGAGTGAACGTGTGGACTCTCATAGCTGTTTCTAATTGTTTTTTTGTAAAGAAAGAGACGTATTTGATAATGTCAGCTCACACGTCATTAAAATAACAATTAACATTGTTGTAGATGATATATATTGGACATCCCTACTATGAATTGACAGCATTTCCTGACATCCACTACACAGACTTTCCTGTTTATCATGTGCTTGAGTGAAACTTTGTGAAACCTCTTTACTTTGAATTGACAAAGAATCAGGTGTTGCTGTGGTAATGTATAAGGTTGTAGTTAATCTTGCTGCTCTGTTTGACTGTATTATACTGAAATTAGGGTGTAGTACTGCCACTGCTTTTGTTTCAGACATCAGTGAAAAAAATCAGATCTTAAAAAAAATGGTCTGTATTCTGAATGTAGCTTTATCATCTTGCACTGTTTCTCCAGCTTGTCTTTGTCCATTAAACTGAGCAAGCTTGGTTTTTTCACTGAACACTCAGTGCAGAGGAGCAGCATCAGGACCACAGATCATCCACATGCAGTTTTATCTAAAACACTATAAAAACCAAGGAGAGAGGCAAGTTCCTGGACAGTGTCTGACATTATCAGCATTTTACTATACAGTAAATTGGGAGTAAACATGTATACCGTCTTCTGCCTACTGACTTCCCTGTTGCATATGTCACTGCAATCAGAGCAAGAGATGTAAACAAACTGATGAGAAATGCTGTGCGTTTTTGATGTAGCTTCCTAATGGTGTGAACCAAAGCCAAGTGATGTACCAGGATCGCTTTGGGAAGCTCCAGGAACACCTGAGGCAGCTTGGCCTGCTCTTCCGGAAGCTTCGTCTCCTGTATGAACGCTGTGTGGAGATGACCTCTGACCTGCAGGAGGGGCCAGCAGAGGTCATTAAGAATCCCCTAGTATCTGCCTAGATATCAGTTTAATGTAAAGACTTTTTCTGAATTATTCATCTGTTAAGGACTATTTGATGGCCATATTTAATATTATAACACTGCAGAGCAGACATTTCTATTTTCTGTCCTTTCTTGCACTCTTTGTTCTGAATTAAAATCCATTGCATTCTTACAAAAGAAGGGAAGAGGAGCCGTTTTTAAACCTATCTGTATATATTCTGTCCTCAGCTTGTGCCATATGTTGGAGAGGAGCTGGATTCTGTCAGAGTGGAGTCGTGCAGTCCTGCTGTCAACCAGGAAAGAAAAGAAGTTCTGGAGGTGCGTTTCTGTTTTCTCTGTCTAAAGTCATAATCAGAAGTGCAAGCTAATTATAGTTTTTAAAGGTTTGGTAAGCTATTTAATATACACTCCCAGTCCACAGTTTGGACACACTTTCCTATTCAATCCAGTGGGAGTGTGTCCAAACTTTGGACTGGTAATTTATCATGTTACAGTATCAAAGTAATGAAGTAAACAAAGTCCAACAGTTGCTGCCACTTGTTAAATAAATTAATGTTGTTAATCTTTATATAAAAACAAAAATTAAAGGGGGCTCTGTAAAATACTTAGTCCATGTATTTTTATCAAGATGGACAAATGGTTTAAATGACCAAACAGGAGCAGTGATACTCAGCTGTACCAACTATCCAGCTATTTAAAAAAATCCCCTTCATCAGCCTCTAGGTGGCAGTACTGACGCAGGCCAAACTGGAGTCTTGGTGCTGTGGGAGAAATACAAAAATCTTGCATCACTTGCAGCTTGTTGTCTTTGTTTTTGCTTTGTAAACATTAGGACCAGTATTCTAGTGTGATGAAGTTTTCTGGCAGTTGAGGAAATTGCTGGCAGGCACCAAGGAGCATAATAGGTAGATTTTGCCTGAGGCTGATGAGCTTGTTTTTATTGTCAGCAACATTGGTGCCAAGCCAGGTAAAAGCATCTTTACTCTCAAAACCCTCCAGTAGGTATCACGGTATATAAGTCTCATTTAGTAAGAACATCTGTTTGTGGTAAGAAAACTGGGTTTTGTTTTGATTGCTTATTACTGAAAGGATGGTGGATGCTAAAAGTCACGTGCTATAAAGACTCTGACTAGTTGATGTCATGTTCACTTGCAGAAGGTACGTCAGAAGAACCAGGAGATGAAGGTTTTGATGGATCAGATGAGGAACCTGCTGTGGGATGTCAATGCCATGCTCACACTCAGGAAATGAGAACTCTTCATATGAGCCGCTCTCTCTTCCATATGTCCACCACAGATGTATTGGACTGCATAATGGCAAAGAGCAGGTGAAATAAGGACATTTCTGTTGGATTTTGGATACGAGACCTTCCATTTAGGTGCACTTCTTTTGGTGGTGGTGGCACTTAATCACTGGCAGGTTACAAGTTCACCCAGCATCTTTTTTGTTACATTGAAGCTGCTGAGGGAAAACTAGTAAACCAAGATGAAATGAAAGCTTAAAAAGATGAGCTTGTTTTAATCTAATACACTCCAGCTCTTTACATAGAATAATGTTTCTGTTCAAGGCAGCTATTTTGTGATTGCCAAATGCTCTGCAGGTGTTAATTTATCACTGCATACATGTTCAAATAGCTTGTAGGCTTAGATTTTCATATTGTCTAAATTATGAGTTGAATCCTGTTGGGAGAGTAAATTTTTCTTAAAACTGTGTTCACAGTGTTTCACCACCAGATAAACTTGACTTAGTTGCAGAAGCTGATCTGACAGTGTTTACAGTTGCCTTTATTATGCGCTGTCAGTTGTAAAAACATCATGGGTTCAGAATTCAAATTAGGCCCGTGGCAGCTACAGTATGCATCTCAGGTGCTTTGTACATAAGTGTGTGTGTGTGTGCACACATGTGTTTAATGTGATTAGATTCCTCAGCGCTTGACAACACCTGTTTAACCTGTAGGTGTTGAGACTTGCCAGCCTGTGAGATTATTTTTGTAAACTGTGGGACAAAAGGTAGACTTGCTGGGTCACTTCAGTTTTGTATCAAATAAACTGATACATGTCTGAGCAGATACTTCTGACATGTAACCGTGTATATGCTGTACAGTGTGTTAAATTACATGTACAGATAAATGACCCGGGCGTGTTTGAACAGAGGGTGTGTGTGTCAAGGACATAAATCCAAGATCAAGTTGCACTGACTGTGACAACTACATCTAGAGATGAGTTCTACCATTTTGTGAGAATGGCAAGTGCTCAGTGTGTATGGGTGAATGATGCCTATTAGGAAAGTTCAGGATTTTCAAAACCTGTAATATTGATCTCTGAGCTCTAGTTTAGAACCCAGTTGTTTGTGGTATATCTGCACCAGTCCTGATTAGGCAGCAATTAATTAACTAATCCACTGCTAAGAAAAATCTTTCTGATTCAAGCGCCACAAATGAGAGGATTTGTTACTTTTTGTTGTCATATCTTTGAATAGCATTTGGTCAACTAAAGCAAGACATTTAATGGAATTCACTTCTTACTTTGTAAAGTTCTTTAAAATGTGAAAAGGGCTCAATTGCGAAAGGTTTTGAAAAATCCCCGAATGTTTCCTTAACCGATGGACAGCGTCTGGTCTGATGTAAAGAGGAATGAAATGAACTGAGAGGGTCTTGCTTTAAATACCTGGAACTTTGGGGCTAATTCATCTCTTAAGCGTGTGATTAATATTCATCATGACAAAGCACTGGCGAGCAGGTCAAAAGGATCAAACACAACAGAAAGTTAGAAAAGAAGAAAAGGGAAAAAGTGTTTTCCCTAGGTTTACAATTTTTTAGGTGGGACGCCCCTCTAATATAATGGTCAAGGAAACACTGGCTAAAAGCAAAGCAAAACAGGGAAAGGGACGGTTGCACATTAGTTACACATTTGTGCTTTTGCAGCCAACATGGAGGTGACACTTGGTCATGTTAGAAACATTTTAAAGAAGGATTAATTGAGATACATTCAACATGTTGGCAACAGTAAAATATTGTAGTGGAATGTTATTTCCTGTTGCGTGCTTTTGCAGTTTCTTTCATTACATCATCCAAAAGCAGCACAGACCTGTGGTGCTTTCTACACTGTGAAGTGGCCTGAACTTCTCCTGAGGTGGTGGGAGAAAAAACAATCTTGTATTTGAAACAATGGACTTAAATGTCATGACAAATACATCAGATGTGCATGGAGTGATAAAGAGTTCCAAACATAATATGTTTTCTACATTTTCTCATTTCAGGAGAGGGATGGACCCTGTTTTTACCTCATGGTATAATAAGGCATATTTATAGTCTAGGAGCCCAATCTCCCCAATGTTTTATTCTGAACTTGGGTACATCCTGGAACAACTGATTGGAAGACCTAAGTGTCCTCCCTGGAGCATAAAAATGTACAAGATCAGAGATATACAAAGGTGCTAGACCATGCACAGCCTTAAAGCATCAACAATTTGCAATTTGGGATTTGCGGCCATTTGTGGGTCCTTCAGCAAGGCTCTTAATGCTATCTGCTGAGCGAGGTACACCATGAACCTCTATGGCAGGGGATGCTACCAGAATGTGGTGAGATGTCATTCTCTCCCACAACTGGAGATGGATGATGGTTTGGCTTTTATGGACAGGTAAAGTATAAGGGCTAAGACTAGGGATAGATGTGGTGGGGTCCTCCTGAAACCAGGCGGGCTGATGCAACACTGGGTGGAAGAGAGAAAGGAACTGGGGTAGAAAGAGAGTAGTAGGAGTAGTTAGGGGGAGGATAAGATATGGCGGTATGGTAGAGAGGAGTCATAAGACCTTAAGATGAGAACTTCTTCTTTAAACATCATTTAGAAGCACACGTGTGTGTTTATTTATTTATAGTTATACACCTTTTCAGATTCAATGACTGTGGTCTTACGAACACTTTTATATTTGTTATAAAACACTTATTTGTTTAAAAAAAATATTTTAAAAACAAGCAGGGGGTATGCCTGTCCTCTTCTCACCTTCTGTGTACTCTTCTCTATCTACTGCCATACTTTGCCTTCCACTCCCTACTCCCCTACCCCTTTCCTTTACATTTCTCTCTTCCACCCAGCCTGCTGGTTTCAGGAGGATCCAACCACTAAACCCGTCCCTAGTCTTAGCCCTTATACTTTACCTGTCTGAAAAGCAAACTTTTGTCATCATCTGTCTCCAGTTGTGGGGGAGGATGACATCTCCCCACCTTCCGGCAGCCTCCCGGCTTTCCCTGCCGTAGGGGTTCATGGTGTACTTTGCTCAGCGGATAGCACTAAGGGCCTTGCTGAAGGACCCACAACTGGCCACGAACCCTGACCTGCTGTACTACAGTAAGTGGTATCAACCACTGTGCCATCCACCTGCTATACAGGAACATCTTTAGAACTTATACTGACTTGTGGTATCAGTTAATGAGCTTGCACAAAGCCTCTAAATCACACTAACAAAATGAGCTCTCATGGCTTGACAGGGAACTGAACCCCACCCTGCCATACCACAGTTAGTGGTATTAACCACTGTGCCATCCACCTGCTATACAGGAACATCTTTAGAACTTATACTGACTTGTGGCATCGGTTAATGAGCTTGGACAGTCATCTAAATCAGACTCACAAATCGATTTCTTCTCTTTGTATTTACTGCCCCTAGGGTCAATTTTCATGAAATATGGGTTGTCTTTTCACTGTTATGCAGATGATATTCAAATCTATTTATGCCACTGAATGTGAAGAGGAGCAACTCACTACATACCCTGGTGGACTGCTTGAGCGAATTAAAACATGGTTATCATGTAACCTCTTACATATTAATGAAAGTAAGACAGTGTTTTAATTGGTAGCTCAGGTTTTGTTAATCCTGATATTCTTAACCCATTGGCCCCTTAATCTAAGGCCTCATGTGAAGAATCTTGGGGTGATATTTAATAGTGCTCTTAAGCTGGATGAACAGATAACTGCAACATTTTCCTTTAAAAGGCAAAACCCAGCATCAACTTATATTTGCATACCACTGAAATATTTAATTCAAAAACATCTTGAAGAATGTGGCACAAATATGAACTATCAACATCAATTTGACAAATCAAACTGGGAATTTAAGAGATAAAGCCTGCAATGTGTACATAGAGGTATACCATGAACCTCTATGGCAGGGGATGCTACCAGAATGTGGTGAGATGTCATTCTCTCCCACAACTGGAGATGGATGATGGTTTGGCTTTTATGGACAGGTAAAGTATAAGGGCTAAGACTAGGGATAGATGTGGTGGGGTCCTCCTGAAACCAGGCGGGCTGATGCAACACTGGGTGGAAGAGAGAAAGGAACTGGGGTAGAAAGAGAGTAGTAGGAGTAGGTAGGGGGAGGATAAGATATGGCGGTATGGTAGAGAGGAGTCATAAGACCTTAAGATGAGAACTTCTTCTTTAAACATCATTTAGAAGCACACGTGTGTGTTTATTTATTTATAGTTATACACCTTTTCAGATTCAATGACTGTGGTCTTACGAACACTTTTATATTTGTTATAAAACACTTATTTGTTTAAAAAAAATATTTTAAAAACAAGCAGGGGGTATGCCTGTCCTCTTCTCACCTTCTGTGTACTCTTCTCTATCTACTGCCATACTTTGCCTTCCACTCCCTACTCCCCTACCCCTTTCCTTTACATTTCTCTCTTCCACCCAGCCTGCTGGTTTCAGGAGGATCCAACCACTAAACCCGTCCCTAGTCTTAGCCCTTATACTTTACCTGTCTGAAAAGCAAACTTTTGTCATCATCTGTCTCCAGTTGTGGGGGAGGATGACATCTCCCCACCTTCCGGCAGCCTCCCGGCTTTCCCTGCCGTAGGGGTTCATGGTGTACTTTGCTCAGCGGATAGCACTAAGGGCCTTGCTGAAGGACCCACAACTGGCCACGAACCCTGACCTGCCGTACCAGAGTCAGTGGTATCAACCACTGTGCCATCCACCTGCTGTACAGGAAGACCTTTGGAACTTGTACTGACTTCTGGTATCAGTTAATGCTATTGCACAAAGCCTCTAAATCACACTCACAAAATGAGCGCTCATGGCTTGACAGGGAACTGAACCCCACCCTGCCATACCACAGTCAGTGGTATCAACCACTGTGCCATCCCCCTGCTATACAAGAACACCTTTAGAACTTATACTGACTTGTGGCATCGGTTAATGAGCTTGGACAAGCCTCTAAATCAGACTCACAAAACAATTTCTTCTCTTTGTATTTACTGCCCCTAGGGTCAATTTTCATGAAATATGGGTTGTCTTTTCACTGTTATGCAGATGATATTCAAATCTATTTATGCCACTGAATGTGAAGAGGAGCAACTCACTACATACCCTGGTGGACTGCTTGAGCGAATTAAAACATGGTTATCATGTAACCTCTTACATATTAATGAAAGTAAGACAGTGTTTTAATTGGTAGCTCAGGTTTTGTTAATCCTGATATTCTTAACCCATTGGCCCCTTAATCTAAGGCCTCATGTGAAGAATCTTGGGGTGATATTTAATAGTGCTCTTAAGCTGGATGAACAGATAAAATCTGTGGTCAAGGCCAGCTTTTTTCAGTTGAGACTACTCGCTAAGGATAAACACTTTCTTTTAATGATTTTGAAAAGGCAATTCATGCCTTTATTAGTTCTAGACTTGATTATTGTAACACACTACGTATATACTGGCATTTGTCAAGCTTCATTATCTCGGCTCCAGTTGGTCCAAAATGCAGCTGCTCGTCTTCTGACGAATACACGGCCTTTTGAGCACATAACCCCAGTTCTTACCTCACTCCATTGGCTTCCTGTTCATTTTAGGATTGATTTTAAATTGTTGATGCTTTAAGGCTGTGCATGGTCTAGCACCTTTGTATATCTCTGATCTTGTACATTTTTATGCTCCAGGGAGGACACTTAGGTCTTCCAATCAGTTGTTCCAGGATGTACCCAAGTTCAGAATAAAACACTGGGGAGATCGGGCTCCTATACTATGGAATAGTCTGCCACGGGATATTAGATCTGCTCCTAACCTGACTGTTTTTCGATCACTCCCTAAAACTCTGCTGTATTCGCAGGCCTTTAACAACTCTGATTGATGGTTTTGTGCATTTTTGCTATTTTATTGTGTATGTGTGATTTATCTGGTTTTATTCTTTTCTCTGTTTTACTGTAAAGCACCATGTACCTTAGGTTTAGAAGGGTGCTATATAAATAAATTTTGCTTGCTTGCTTGTTTGATTTGTTGTGCAGCCCTAATAAATATCTATTTCAGTAGACTTCTTACAGTGGTTACCAGGGGCAGTACAGTTTCTGTATTAATCTGCATTCACTCTTTCATTTCAGAGTAGAGCTGTCAGTTATCACAACCAGGGGGTTGTGATTTGGGTGACATTCATATGTTGACTCAGTTGCTAATAATGCAGAAAGTCTTTCTCCAGAGTGGCTGCCTTGGTTTAAATAGGCTCTCCCACACCTCTCCAGAATGGTCTTTTGTCATACAGGGTTACGCTGTCTCCTTCGACGACGACATATTTTAAGACACGCGCTCTGTGTCCGCGGGTGGGAGTGTGCTCACCTGTGTGTGTGTGTGTGCCCCCCTAATATAATGGTAGGGGAAGCACTGGGTGTGTTAAGTTACGTGTACAGATAAATGACCCAGGCTTGTTTGAACAGAGGGTGTGTGTGTCAAGTGGAAAAACTTGAACAGTCTGCAGGGCCGTGCCAGTTTGAATTTATAAATCATTTTATTGGTTTTACAGTTTGATGTGAAATAATGTTTCCTTTGCAGCAGTCCCTGCACAGCGATGTCGAGACGTACACTCACCAGCCACTTTCTTAGGTCCACCTGTATAATTGTATGCACTTCAGTGCAACATGTCTGCCTTAACATCTGTGTTTATGAAGCTCAAAATGTTTCAGTTGTTGGTGAAATCGTCATAAATGTGTAAATTATATGTTTATTATTCAGGTCATAGTTAAAGGTGGTGGTGTGCTGGACAGCATTATATTTAGAGGTGTTTCTATATTTTTTTCCCTCCCCAGCTCCATACATGAGAGGGTCAGAATATTAGGAACACCTCTAAATATAATGCTGCCCAGTCCACCACTACCTTTAACTATGGCCTCAATAATAAATATATAATTGAATTTATACATTCACCAAAAGTAAACATGATGAGCTTCATAAACACAGATGTTAAGGCGGAAGTGTTGCACCGAAGTGCGTACACATCTACAGAAACAAATACAGTGAGAAAAATAATCGTAGGTCACAGTTTGTGGTGTTCTATTAAACAAAGTTTTTTTTTTTTTTTTTTTATATTTTTGCTGTCCAGTAGAAACTCTCCTTCTCAACAATAGGCCCAATCACATGGTGCCTAAATTTCCTCCTCCATTGTCCTACCAGCCTCATGGAGATAGGAGAGCGTGGCCCCTTTTGCTTCATATTTGTATGTACATGGTCCAGAACAGTCCACCAGGGTCTGTCTGATGATTGTACTTTGTCCATGTTGCAAATGTCCTTTTGTCCACATCCCAGACAGTCCTTGAGTAGCACGTCTTGCCTGTCCACTATTGACTGGTTGACATATCTGTCCAAAGACCCGCTAGACCCGACCTCCCATGCTCCCCATTGTTTCCATCCGCATCTGTTTCACGCCCTCTCCAGGTCTTTGTATTTCTTGCGAAGGACAGACACTTGGTCTTTGAAGAGTACAGGGTCCAGCCGAAACTGAGAGTGGACCAGAGGCATGTAGCCAAACCAGCTGGCGAAAGTGTTGACACACTCCTGCCGCTGGTTGAAGTGCTCTGGGTTGGCCCAGGGGACACTCTTCGTACCCTGAGAAGTCAAACAGGACAGTGTCATTTAACATCTCGTCATGAGATTTGAGTAAACTACATCAACAGACCATAGTGAATGAGACAAATGGCCGCCTACCTGTGGACTGGGCAACTCTTTGTACTGCTTCCTCTGAGCCACTTTGATTGGGGGCAAGTGAGTTACAGCAGACACCAGGAAGTTCATCAGGATGTCCTCACAGTTGGAGGTGCGATCCACCAGAGCCCGCAGAGACTGGGGCAGGTAGTGGGAAAACAGGTAGTGATAGTACCTGTGGGGCCAGAGAAAAGTGTTACACAGACAGTGTATAATACATTTTTTTTTAAAAAGGACAATGGATTTCTTTTTAGATTTTTTCTATGTGCGTCTCATGCTGCAGATAGAAATCCAATCTATCAAATGTGTCGGCCCACACTGAATTCGAGACGTGCATAAAACATGCCTTTCCCCTAGAACCTTTGTTTTTTTTACGCTTTGTGTCAGTTTTTCCCCCTCTGCTGTGTTTAGTGAAGCATAATCTCTACAGACAGCTGTTTAAATCAGACAAATCCCAATATATCTATTATGACTGATCAGGTGCTTTTATTTTCACTTTCACTCACCCTCTGTAACAGGCTGGGGAAAATCAATAAAGCCATAGGCTACATAAAGATGCGATTTCCTCTGAGCTTACATGGAAACTATTTCTGTCACGTATGTGTGTGATGTCTGTCAGCCTGGTGAAGACTGTTCAGCCGCTGTTCTGATGACAAAGACGTCTCGCTTTCAGTGTGGATTCCCAGTTAGTAGTCATAAACTGGGTCATTAAATCGCTTTCTGTAATTAACACAAGGATCACAGGTTCGATTCCCACGACTGGTCATGCGCAGTATCTGTCAGTATCGCTCTTTGTCCCCACAGTCCAGCTGGCTGCACCGCAGTGAAACAGAAAGGCACGAGTTAAAGCACATGAACCCATCGAATAAATACAAAACTAAAGAGAATAAAGAATGAGTACAAAAGTTAAAGCAATTTTCAAAATGTAAGTTATTTGTAAATAATAGAGTGTTGCTTGTTAGACACACACCAGATAAACTAAATGCGATTCCATAAAGGTTATAGTGACACCTCCTGAACACAGATCTCACCATGCCGCTAATTTTCTCTTCAATACACATTGTTTTACTCTTCCAGGAATATTTTGTTTCATCTGTTGCCAGTGTGCAAAACGTGTTCTGTCTCACTAGGATTAGTCTGTAATCACGATTTTAGGCTCTTGTACTCACACTGACAGTACAGTAAATCTCTTTAGACAAGAACATCTGCTAAACACCTAAAATAAGAATGTAGCAGAATAAATGGATCCCTGACAGGTGGAGGTCAGGTAACCAGTACCTGCATGGCAACATCGACAGGATGCTGTGATTTATGTTGATGATATGTATCTGGGACAAGTTAACCATTTCTCCACCAGTAGAATTTAGTATTCATAGTGCACAACAAACCCAAACCTCTGTGCAACAGTGCATCTGTTCTCTACTCCTCAAGGTTTCAAGGCAGGGGGGTTTTAGTGCAGTGCTTTCGATTCATTTTTCTATTTCTATTCTGCTGGTAATTTTGCATTACTATTGTTTTTGCAGAGTAGCTCTCTTGTGAAAAGCCATTTGGTGTGGTGTCACGTCATTTTACTAACACAGTAGGTAATTAGATAATTTTGTGTTAAAAGACCAGATTGAAAGCTCAAACAATTAGCAAGACACGTTCAAAGTGACTGCTCATTGTTTTGTCTCCGTTTAATGGTGAAACGGTGTTATCTGAGGTAATGCTGTCAACGAAACCGCTGATAAAAATGACCACACTGACTCAGAATGTCACACGGTGTCAGCAGGTTTTGGAGTACCTTGTCGGTGGAGTAATCATATTCACATTTACACTGTTTTTCTTTTGGAAATGGAAAGTCGAGTATAGGAAATCTTCCTAGCTCTGTTTATTAGGAGACAGGTTTCACAAGTTACTGTAATATCTCAGCTAGATCTATAAAAACATTTCACTGCAAAATATCTTGTTTACTTTTTCTGTTTGCTGGTTTCTTATTTGTGCTTTTATTGTACATTGTGTCCAGATTTGTTCTGTTTGCTTTGCTACTCGTTCTTTTATTTGTAAAAATTTGCCTTGTGCTTTGGAAAAGTTAATTAAAAACCTTGAGTTGCAGTAAAATAACAAAAGCTTTTATAGTGCTAAGTTGCATTTCCTGTTTTTTCTTTTACATTACTGGTGTACCTGTGGTAGAAGGCAGCTCCAGTCAGGACGATGGAGTAGTCGTTGGTCCATTTAGATGTGTAGCCCCAGGCGCGCTTCAGGGGATCCCAGAAATGGCTCCTGGGAGGGTAGCCAACGATCCGCTCAGGGAAGCTCCGCCACACCAAGAAGGCAAAGTTCACCTACAAGTAAAGAAAATGAACACTCAGATATTGTTGCTGTCAGGAAAATTGATTCTGACGTGTATGCACATCTGCTTGTGTGTTTATTAATAACAAGTGTACACACACCTCACTGGTTAGTAGGACCGTATCCTCGTCCAGACTCAGCACTGCTTCTGTCTCTATGGCAACGTGAGGTAGAAATCGACTGGTCGTCTGAGAGAGAAACACAGTAGTAACTTAGTCCTGGATCTGTTCTGTCTGACCTGAGCTTTGACAGATTATGGGAAGGAGTGAGAGATGATCATGTTACAGTAAACCATGCTGAGTGACTAAGATGAGTGAATCACTATAGATTGTGTTGTGAGAGGGGAAAAAGAAGGCAGACGGGGAGAGGGAGATGGAGAAGAAACATCGAGAATGAGTGACATTTATGAAACGCCACATGGATCACCGGACATGTCAGATAGACACGGATAGGAGGAAACACAGAGAAAAATAGACATCAAGGAGAAAGACCAGAGATTCATGAACCCACTGAGCAACTGACAGTTTGTCATGCTGTCACTCAGACGTTCAGTGTGAGCTGCGAGCGCCTTTGACCCTCACCTTCCTTCTGCCGTCTGTCACGGTGAGCGGGACGGGCATGGCAGGCCATTTGCTCCGATTGGGTGGTGGTTTTTCACTGTTCCAGAGAATGATGATCTGCAGCAGCAGGGGATGGGAATTTTACATCACACTTACACAGATAGACTGACCAGAGATAACGGGTGATATCAATCCACCAGAAGGCTAGGCAGACGTGTTTCCTCATCGGAATATTATGGTTACCTCATCATACACAGAAAAGACTGCACAACACATGTTATAAAAGTCACGATTTGTCATAATGTTTACTCAGAGCTTGGTACAATTACCTGTGAGCAGTACTTTGACTTGGAGACCACCTGAAGCAGCTTCATGATTGGCTGAGACTGGGAGACCAATGGGGAGACGGCGTGGATGACAGCAGTGAATTCCTGACCTGGACTGACCCCTGAACACAGTCACAGACAATAATATGAGGATAAGAAAGAATCTGTTACCTGTTTGAATATTTCGTAGATGATCTTAGACACAAAAAACATGAAAATGTATCTGTATTACTTAGTGTTGGGGAGTAGTGAACTTTGTGTCATTAAACTAGTAGTTTTAACTACAGTTAGCTTGTGGGTAGTTCAACTACATTCATATTTGTGTAGTGACTGAAGTAGTTAGTTAACTACTGCAACTGCAAATAATTTTGGGTCATGAAAGGAAAGAAATTACTCTTTATTTTTGTTTTGCATATATTTTTATGTTTTATACTGTAGTTTTTTAGAAAATACAAAATCCAAATTTGTTTACAAGAAACATGTCTGTTTAGGACAGTTTTTTTTGTCTCAGGTAAATAAACTCAACTGAGTAGCATCTTTTGCTGGCATGTTTTTAAAAATGTACCTCCACAGCTCTCACATAATAGTCTACACTATGCCTAATGAGCAATCAAAATCTGCATGTGTACAGATTTATTTAAATCAAGTGTGAGTTTACCTAATCCCAGGTAGTAGAAAGGGAAATGTGCGAGGTGAGTCGAGTACTCTGGGAGGACCAGCAGACCTCCTGGCAGGGAGTTCCACATATACTTGTTCCTTGATATGTGAGAGAACACACGGTCCTTAATGATCTGAGGAGAGACAAAAACATGGATGGTTTTGGATGTGAGTTGCATTATGGGAAGCAGAGAGAACATGTTGGCTTTGCGGAGTGAACTGGTTGTTGTGCTCATCTAGTATAAGTCAGAATCTCAGAACTCACTGTAAACGCCACTGCCGGTGGGTTCACATATTACAGCAATCCATAACAATACATGCACTTTACATTTCATGCCAACAGGAGGTGTTAATGCAGCGGCGAAGGCCACCGTCCACTGAAACCCTCTGCCTTAGTGACCTCAGGCTGACTACACAGCCGTCTCTCACAGGAGAGGGTCCCCGTGCTGTATGTATGTAAGCAGCTTATCACCAACCTCCAGAACCTCTCCCTTATTATCTCTAGCATAATAGCAGCACATACACCAGGGGCTGCCAGACTTGCCTTTCTCAACATCAGAGTACAAAACCTACCACTCACTGTGTGATTTCTTCAGATTTCAGTGTGGTTAAATCAGTTGTTTGCCCACATTTTTAATGTGCTAATGTTGACTTTGGCAGTGTGTGCGAAAACATATTAAAAGTTATTTATTTTCATATATTATCTAACCCTTGGCTAACCTTCAAATGACTTATCTTAACTGGAGTAACAACCTTTGAAGAACATTCCTTCTCAACTTGTTCAAAAAGGTAAAACAAAAGATACTGGAAACTTTCTGAATATGACCTGTAGCAATGAGAAACAATTTCTCACAGTGTGACAATAGGGAGCACACTAAGGAAGAAAGCGGCAGGCTGGGGCAGATATTTGTAACATAATGATATATTTCTATACATTAGGGGATTTCTCTGAGACTTCAGGCAGGTCAGATGTGGACTGCTTTGAAAATGTTCAGTAGGCCACAACAGTTCAACACAGAGCCGACAGTAAAAGACTGGAGCATGGGCCAGGAGCCAACCACATAATCATAATGATAAAAGGGTGGTTTGATTCAAATGTAAAAACTCAGTAGGAAAGCCTTTCTGAAAGAGAACTGATGATAGCACATGGGCAGAAAACCGCAGGGACTGTATTTACAGCAACAGCTTCTTTTTGTAGATGTTTTCACTGGATTCTTTATGGTGCTGCACGTTCCTGAACACAGCTGTATGGGAACATATAGATAAGCAGACTATTTAGAGTTCTGAAACATTTCAATTAGTTTTGAAGTCAATATTCAGCAGCCAAAAGAAACATTTATGGGTGATCAGAAGTTCTAGTCCTCGTTGTGGCACTAGAGGGGTCAATGCTTAGATCCGATATTATACAGTCAGGAATTGTATTTAAAACCACTACCTTTTGTAACAACGTCTATTTCAGTTGAATTTTTCACACTGATTTCAGTTTTGGTGATTCTGACAGGTCAAGTCATCACTCGTACGAAACTGCCTGTGCAGACGTTTAAGATAGAGTCCAAAACAGAGGAAGCTATCGTAGCTTAGCCACTCAAACTTAACCCTTTGTTTAACCCTCCTCTGTCATAGTATAAACTGCTTCGGAAAAGAGGAATGGTTTTTGTATAGTTATGAGAAAGGCCAGATTGGACCTATTTGGATTGTTTTTAATGACTTTGGGTGAAAAACCTCCTCTTATTATTGCAAAATCTGCCTTGCTCACTTGCAGGCTGTATTGTACCACTACTAGCTAAAGCCTATACAATCCCAAATGGAGCGGGAACGTGAAGGTGAGCATGACTTAAAGCTTGTTCTGGGAGACGATTAAAAGGCCAATTAAGTACTGTAAGTTGAAATAAGTGCCTATCTTATGATCTCAGTTCTTTCACAAAAAAGCATAGAAGTGTACCCAAACTATTTTTTAGCAAGACTTTTAAAGAAAGTGATTGCCCATTTTCCCCTGCTTGCCAGCTACATTTCCAGCTAGCCCTGCAAGTAGTCGCAATGTCACCACACCTCTACCAAAGGTGTGCGGATTTTGTTTTGCCTCCTTCTGTGACCAGGCCTGTAGGGTGAGTATGTTGAGGCTTTGGGCTGACCTCTAGTGTGGTGAGCACTATCTTGTCCACCGAGGAAAAGTAAGCTTCCCACAACATCTGGGTCCTCTGTCTGAGGACCAGGACTCTCTCATTTCCTACTGCTCTCACTGTGGATGGCACCTGAAGAGAAAAGAAGAGCAAAATATCTGTTCAGAGAAATCAAAATCAAAAGAAAAAGAAAAAGAGGAGCCGAGAAGAAAAACCCACAAGTTTCACATCAGCTGTTTTTAAAGAAAGCCTCCCGTCTTAAAATAGACCGTAAAGGAGAAAAAGGAGGTAAGTGACATGTGATCAAAACTGTATAAATGGTTGTTTAATCTGGCCCCCTAAAAAACATTTGACACAGCTGATTTGGGGCCTGTTGTTAAGATAATTAGTGCTTAATTAGTAAGGACTAAAGTGGGGGTTTCAAGTGAATCGCCAAAATTGATTTAATAGAGATTTAAGCTCAATGGCTCAATTAAAGTAGAAGAAGCCATGTTGAACCAAGAGAAGTGTGAGCAGTTTGACTCCTGTGAACCCTTAGTCTTCACACAGATAGCACTTTGTCTAATGAGCTCCAGTTAAAGAAGTCAGGAGGCTGATGAATCTCTTTCTCTGCATTTTTAAAATTCTTTTCCTTGTTCCTTCTCTCGGTTTCTCTTTTCACACCTCTCTTCCTCCACGTTTCAGTACCTTTCTCCTTTTCTCTCCTCTAAGTATCTGAAGAACAGCTTCAGTTTAGCATTGTTCTCAGTTTGTCTGAAGGGTCTGCCCACACTCCCTAACCTCCGATCAGAGGCAGTGTGAATATTTGCGTGTTATACATATGTATGTTTCCATGTGAGACTTTTGCAGGTGTGGAGAAATCAATCCAGTTCAGCACAGATTTGAATATGTCCCCTGCGTTGAGCTCTCAGGGCCTTGTTCCCCATTCGTTAGCTGAATGCCAATTCGTATCCTCTGTCGGTTGAGACTGAAGAGGATCAGTGCAGAGGAGACATGATGTGGTTTGTGTGAAGGAGAAAAATTGTAGTTGTAGCTAAGAGTGAGTTCTGTTGTGCTCTACATGTGAGGAAACAAAGACACAGAGGGTGAGTGAGTGAAGTGAAGCTGGATTAAGGCCCCTCTGGGATTTCAAATGGCCCCAACCTGTAACCACATCATTTGATACAAGTAATGCCTGCTTTGTAGCTCATGGCTGATGCTTGGCAGGTGAACCTCTGTGCTTAACACAGTGTGTTTACATGGACATGAGTATCCCAGTTATGATCGGGTATGTACAGTAAACATCATATCCCGATTTCAGGAAACGATAAGCTCTTATCCTGGTTTTGAGAAACCCGAATATGCTAGGTGGAGTACTCTGAAAGAAACCAGGATACTGTTACATGTATACATCTTATCCAGGTTTCTGAAGGTTCCAGACCATCTGCACAGCTGCATTTCATGGTTGGCGCGATGAAGAGATGGAATTTTGATTTTTCGTAAATGTACTTGATATTTAGCTGGAGAAAATGTGGCCATGCTGCCCTCTTCAAATAAATAGTGCACAAGTTAGCATTTCATGGTTGGCGCGATGAAGAGACGGAATTTTGACTTTTCGTAAATGTATTTGATATTTAGCTGGAGAAAACGTGGCCATGCTGGCCTCTTCAAATAAATAGTGCAGGATGCAGGTTTCCCAACAGTTACAGTGGAACAAATCAGATCACTGTGGGAAATCCTGAAGAAAAATGACTACATGGCCAAACATCAAAACAAACAAAAAGGGTTTAGTCCAGCAACGTTTAAATTCTTGAAAATATTGTATTACATGCATCATCCACTTTCCACTGTGGAGGAGTGAGGAGTTGACATCTGCTTCCCTGTCCATCAGATACTGGGCCTACTAGGTTACACTACCTCCAGGTAGTGTTAAGATGCTTAACGGTTATTAATGTTAGTATGTAGGCCCACATATCCTAAGCCTTTTTCATTATGAAAAACAAATAGTTTTACAGAAACATTTTTACCTAATGGCCATTGATATAGATGGATATAGAAGATGACAGGATACTAGTTTTTATCATGTTTTTATTATTATGCATGTCACCTAGGATCCTTTGCAACTTCTACAGCTGCATCATTGAGAGCATCTTGACCAGCTGCTTCACCGTCTGGTATGGCAGCACTACTGCTATGGACCGCAAGAGCCTGCAGAGAGTGGTAAAGACTGTATAGAAGATCACCAGGACTCCACTGCCCTCTCTCTGCAGAGCATTTACCACCGCAGGGCGAGTAGGAAGGCTGCCTCCATCCTCAAAGACGCCACCCATCCCCAGCACGGACTGTTCACCTCCCTACCCTCTGGCCGGAGGTTCAGAAGTGTGAAATGCAGGACCTCTAGACTGAAAAACTCTTTTTTTCCCTCTGCCATCAGACTCCTAAACAGCTGAGGAGTTTACTACCAGGAAATACGTGTTGTGCTGTTTACATTCTCAGTTTGCACATAATTGCACATTGACTGTTGACTGCTGCTCCCATGCAGCATACATTCTCCGTTATATTCTTATATATTTTTATTATATTGCTGCATTTGCTACTTAGAGTGCCTTATTTCTTGTGTTACTTATTTATCTACTTTATATTTCATTTGTATTTTGTGGCATTCATGTGGACGGCAAAGTAAGAATTTCATTGTACAGGGAAACACGTTTCCTAACTGTGCATATGATAATAAACACTTTGACCTTGACCATGTATAGAGGGATATATGTAACCAGATTTCTCTATCTCCATGTAAACACCATATGCCGCACATGATCAAAACTGGGACACTAATTGTCCATGTAAACGCATTCAGAGATGGATTATATTTCTTGGGAATCAAAGCAAATCCAGGCTCTTTGAATGAGCATCTTTAGGTGAAAAATGTTTTCAACTGATCTGCTTCTTCTAAAAACCAAAACCAACAGCAAATGTATGTCTGTAGGTGTGCACATGTGAGTGTGTATGTTCAGACCCATGCACACATGCTTACAAGTGTTACCTGTAGTAGTAATCTCTCATCTCCCTCAATGACTGCCTGGTTCCACTGTATGACATCAGAAAATGGCAGCTCCCAACCATTACTCAGCAAAACTGGGATACACGCTGCCTGGACACACACACACACACACACACACACACAAACACATATAAGAATTTAGAGAGACACAGAGG